CGGGTCCTCATTTTACCCACCTCGGAAGGATGGAAGGCTGAGTCAACCTTGAGCCGGTGAGATTTGAACAGCCGAACTGCTGAACTAGCAGTCAGCTGAAGTAGCCTGCAGTGCTGCATTTAACCACTGCGCCACCATATGGAACTGATGTGTCATTAACTACCTTCCAATTTTTGTTTTTCCTTCCCAGCCTATAGTATTGCCTTGGGATTTCCTGGAGTTCCCTCATCCATGTATTAACCATATCTGACTCTACTCAATATCAGTGAATGTTGGCCATGAATAACTCTTTCAGGAGGAGGTGATGGGATTTATTTCAGAGTTGGAAGGTTTTTGTGGGAAGTTTCTGAGCTCTGTGCAATGCAAAAAACCCAAAAAGAGCCATTATTGGAGTTTCCTTCCTGAAAGCCCAAATCTGCTTAATACTACCTTCAACCCTCACCTTTCTGCCCCGGGCAGAAGCACCCCAAGACCAGTTTCTTTCCAGGTTTCGATACCAGTTCAGTGGACACCTGAGAGAGGCAGAAAAAGAAAAAAAGCAGGACTTAGCATACATTTTTCTGGGTCACCACCAAACTTCAAGCATCTACTGTCAGTTTATTTCAGTTTCGATTCTCAGCACAGATTCAGATCTGTTTAAGCTCCCACTGGTTGACTTAGTTGCTACGCCTATTCATTGGCTGACCTTGTTACCATGTCTCTCCCAATAATGAATATTCTAACATCTATGTCAAATGTGGAGTCCTCCCAATACAAGCATGTATAGCTAAGGCAATTTTCCACCACCTCACTCATGGTCAGTAACACTGGAGGGACACATTTGTAGTTTTCTGACACTGGGAGCAAAGAAAACTTTTCTGGCAGCTGCTGCCTGTCATTTCCCAGCTCTCCTCTCACCTCTCACCCCCCCAACAGAACTCCAAAATTCTGCATTGCGTTAAAAACGCCTGGTTAGGTCGGCTTCCTGCTTCAGGAAAGTGATAGGCAGAGAAGAGAAAAAAAGTCAGGAGCAAAAATAAAGAAGAAGGAGATCTGAAGGTACATTTAAACAAGCATTGTATGCATTTGCATATACAATCAGTTTTAGTTATCCCTTGCATGGATTAAAACCAGCTGGCATTGAAATTTAAAAGACATTGGTTGAAAATAATTTTATGAGAGCTTTTGAGTTCCTGTTTTTTAAGTATCTCTACCATTTCTCTCTCTTCTCCACAGCTCAACAGTTGTAGATCAGGAGCAGGCTGCTCGGGGTTCGCAGGGGTTCAGGAGAACCTCTAGCTAAGATTCTGTGCGGTTTGGACAACCCCCAAATCCCACTCCTGGCTGGCGCTGCCCACCCTGCCCCTCCCAGGAGCCCCTACATGCCCGTTTTGGATGCAGGTATGTGCAGGGCACACGTGGAGGCTTGGGGACTGCAAAAAATGGGCCTACCGGACGTTCAGGAAGGCCGGAAACGGGCCTCCAGAGGATCTCTGGAGCCCGAGGAGGCTGTTTTCTCCCTCCCGGAAGCTTGAGGAAAGCCCCCCGAGCCTGGGGAGGTTAAAACCCCCCCCCCCCCCGTGGTGCAGGAGGCCGACTAGGCCATGGCCACGCCCACCCACCAACCGGACAGAGAGCTCCTTGCTAAAAACTTTGAAGCCCACCCCTGTCAGATATCCCCTCTTTTGAGAATGATGCTTTACCAATCCCTATGGTTTGTTCTCAGCAAATATCTAACAGAACGTTGCCTCTTACATAAATTTGCCCATGTATATTCTAGTGGCCACCACCATTCATTGTCTCCAGCAATGAAACTGGCAAATCATTGCTTCAGTGTAAATAATATGGGTATTGAGCACATCAATAAAACCAAAATGAACACACCCAAAGCTACATTACCTGAATCCAGATTTTTTAAATTGTTGTACATAGTACTGGAGGACTGGCTCTGGAAGAAGAGAACTTGGAGGTGTATCTTCAGGAAGCCCCACAAACAGCCCCCCTGCATCACAGAAAAGATTGGAATGAGAAGTACTTCAGTATTGCTGCCTCAGACGTGAACTATGAGGCCTTAAATCTTAGCTAGAAAGCTCTTTTTCAATAAACCCCTTCACTTTTTTAAACTTCATGCTTAGTATCAACATTTTTCTCTTCCCGAATCGTTTTAAGACTATCTGGCATTGATTGTTATTATTAGCTTCCATTTCCTTCCCATCTATTTGCCGGGAATTGAGAGGGCCAGATGCCATGATCTTAGTTTTCTTAATGTTGAGTTTCAAGCCAACTTTTGCACTCTCCTTCTTCATCCGCATCAAGAGGCTCTTTAGTTCCTCTTCACTTCCTGCCATTAGAGTGGGATCATCTGCATATCTGAGGTTGTTGATATTTCTGCTGGCAATCTTAATTCCAACTTCTGGCACTGATACAAAGGCACAAAGCCTTCCAGGCAGAGCTGTCCAACGCGCTTGGCTCTTTAGAACAGATAAAAGGCTTCCTTGCAAAAGGTAGAAGCCAAATGCAAGTGCCCTCTCCTAGCACTGGATCAGACTGTCTTGCTACCTATTTCAATGCATGAAATACTCTGATTCAGAGTAAAAACCTGAATTGTTAAGACTTTCTAAGGCAGCATCAGTAAAGTAACATTATTTAAATAAGAAGGCACAACTGTGCTCCCCGAAAGGTTTGATTGCAGCACTTAGAACCTGTACAGAAGTCACTGCTAACTGCGATTTTCAATGTGGTAAGAGAATAATTTTTAAAATAAAGGGTAAAATATGCTCTCAGGTCAAATTCTTGTGTCCATGGGTTTCCTGCCTAAGCAGGGGGTTGGACTAGAAGACCTCCAAGGTCCCTTTCAGCTGTTATTCTATTCTATTCTATTCTATTCTATTCTATTCTATTCTATTCTATTCCATTCCATTCCAGGCTGGATGTGGATCTGGTTTGCCATTACCATCTTCTCGGATGTTTTTCAACTTCCCAGTCTAGTCTATAGTTCTGGATTTCTAGAATTTTCTCATCCCATTTTTTTAAAAAATTGAAATTATTAGCAATTAACCTCCATTGATGTGGGGGTTGCAATGTCTTACCTCGCTTCCTAACTCCGGCTGTACTAAGAGAAGGTCCTTCCATTTTATCCTGTAAAGAAAACATTTTGAATGAAATGTGGCAAAATTGAGATCAGGGCAGATCAGAGATGGCTGATAACTGAGCCACGAAGAAACATTGAGCCAGTTTTTATTTCAGTGGTTAAACCGATTTTAATCCAGGAAGTACTTAATTTTGCATTTGGTGTAATATTGTGCCAATTAAATCAAATTTGTGTAATTCATGCAGCGTTAGCAGCCAAGTAGCACTACCCTTTATATTAAATTCTCCTGAGCTCACGACTACAGCATTATCTTTCTCTTTCTGTCCTGGCCACTTTTTACAGAGGCACAATTGATAACCTTTTAACAAACTGCATCATGTTTAGTTTGGTGGCAGCAGTGCCTCAGATAGAAAGTCCATCCAGAGAGTAGTAAGGACAACCAAGAAGATTACAGGAAGCTCCCTTCCTGTCATTCATAAGCACATACCACTTACAAGCACTATGTGCTTAGAACTCAAAGCATTGTTAGAGATCCCACACACCACACACTTTACTGTCTGTTTCTGTTGCTCCCTCCTGGGAGGAGGTTTTGAAGTATTTCTAGCAGGACTACCAGACTCTGTAACAGCTTCCTTTCCTATGCCATCCGTCTGGTAAACTTGCAACATTCATTTTTCTTGTATGTACATGTATACATCTGAACTAGACTGTGTTGTTTCTCGGGGTGGTCATATAATATATGTGGGTATAGGCATAATTTTGTATTTATTTATTTAGTTATGTTTATGTAGTGTATATTGGAAGTGGTGACCCTTTGAGAGCTGTATGAAACAAAAATTCATTTTAATGTATGCCGATTAGTGTACATTTAAAGTGACAATAAAGTCATTCTAAGTCTAAGTCATTTGTTGGAAATAAAGAAGAGAAATGATGCCACCCACATATGCTAAGCCTAGAAATCTGTTTTCAATTCCCCAACTGCCCAAATTCTCATTTTGTTTAGGAATCGAATCTTGCTTTATCATTTTATTTTGAAGATTAATTTAAAGAATAAAACATTTTGACTGTTGTTTTTGTTTCGAAATGGAGAAACCAATACCTTCAATGTTCTCTTAACCAGAAATATACCAATCATTCTAGGTTGCTCCTCCTTATTCCCATGCTGGACATCTGAAAAATGTATTTCTGGCTATACTTGTGCTAATCTAAGATAAAGAACGTAATTAGTCCAAAAATATCATTTCCAATGTACTTCTTTACAGAACTTTGCCATCCAATACCATCTGAGACCCCTTCTTTTCCTTTGGGGCAAAACCATTCATGCAAGAGGACTTACCTCTTTCCTGGTAGATCGTATCATAATCTTCAGAGTTCGGATTATATCTTTCTCCAGTTCAGCCTCTGCGACTCCCTGCAAAGGGGGGGAGGGGAGGAAGGTTATTTGAATCGCTCATTGAGGGCATGCAAGGAGTTGAATATTCCTCCCCCCTCCGGCACCCAGCATCCACTATCTAAGACAGTGTTTCTCAATATTGGTGACTTTAAAGCACATGACTTTCTGCAGTCAGACTCCAGATACCTTTTACCACATGTGGTGGATGTGCAGTAAAGCAAGAGAATATTGGGAGAAAATACAAAACTGGCTGGAAATGATAATCAAACAGAATATTGAGTTGAAACCACAAACATGTCTCCTAGGTATACTACCAGAGGGCTATGATAAAGGGACCTGATATTTAGTTTTATATATGCTGACAGCAGCAAGGATCATATATGCTAAATATTGGAAAAATGTGAATACCCCACTAGAGGAGGCTGTAATTCTGGAGAGAAAAAAAGACTGTGCTGAAAGTTAGATTAACTTTTAAAATTAAAGATCAAGAAGATACAGATTATTATATGATTTGGAATAAATTCTATGAATGGATAGAAGCAAGAGGTAGGAATTAGAGAAAAGTAAGATCATAAATGCTAGTACTGAAAACAAGAAGGTAAATAATTACAATACTTTTAATGTAAGAAGAAACCTAGCTAAAAGCTTTTTTGTTATATTATTACCATTGTTACTATATCATTATTATTGTTATTAGCTTGTATAACAATGTTTAATACTTCCTTTTTGGGGAGGGTGTCTTTTTTATTTGTGAATGGTATACCCTGACAATGCACTGTTTTTCAAAAAAGTGTCTGTGAGTAAACTTTATTAAAAAAAGAAAAAAAAAACCCATGCAGATTTCAGCTCTTAGAATTCTCCAGCCAGATATGTTGGCAGAGAATTCTGGGAGTTGAAGTCCATACATCTTAAAAGTTGTCAAGGTTGAGAAACATTGATGTATGAAGATCCCATCACTTCTTATCTTCTCCTAACTCCCACCAACTTGACCGCATCCCTGAAAACTTGCACCATTAACTGAAATACTATGGGTGGAATCATGGGGAAAAAAATGTTACTCTTCAGTCATTCCCTTTTTCAGGATATACAGTTCTATTCCTCTTTCATCCCCCCTCCCCAGTGCTCAGCTGCCACTAAGTCTTTTGAGAAGATTTTGCATCAAAATACTCCTTCCTGGTGTGTTTCCACAAACCTTAAATCTGGCAACACTTGTCAGGTACAGTTAGTTATGTAAGTGGCTACATACAGAAAACTTTGTCTGTTGTTAGCTACAATCTATGTGCTATGGCAGGATCTAAGTGGCTTTTTTATTTATTATGTCTATGAGCCAAGTAGAGTTTTCATAATTTGGCAGTATATAAACACTGGGTGATAAACAAATAAACTTATAAAACAAATAAGGAGAAGGCATCTATTAAGACCTCAGAAAGAAGAGAAGCACTGTATCACAGCCTAAGACAAAGGAACAACAAGGGAAAAAAAACATTGGGAGGAGAGCAGGTGGAATTGCTATCACATCAAAATACATATAAGGAGGAATATACAAGGACTCCCAATTTAGGGAATAGTTCTGATAACAGGATATATAGGAATCCTGTTGATTGGAAATGCTTGTATTGGAGGATGTCCTGCAAATGTTTTGTCCTTCAACTTCAATAAATCTCAATCACAGCAAGGCCTTTGGATCAAAAGGGTTGAAATCTAACATACCAGATAGGGGCAGGACTGATTTAGGATTTTTGCAAGTAGTACCAAGAATTTGGAATGGTGCTCAGAAGAAGGAGTTCAATAGCAATAGCAATAGCACTTATATACTGCTTCACAGTGCTTTTATAGTCTTCTCTAAGCCGTTTACAGAATGCCCCCAACAATCTGGATCTTCATTTTACCAACCTCGGAAAGATGGAAGACTGAGTCAACCTTGAGCCCGTGGGACTTGAACTGCCAAACTGCTGGCAATCAGCAGTCAGCAGAAGTAGCCTGCAGTACTGCACTCTAACCACTGCACCACCACAGCTCTGCATCACTGTCAAACCTTGCATTCAGATTAAACTGGTTCCAGCCCAACTTCTCCATTTATTTTAGTGGTATCTCCTATAACCTCCCCTGCTTCTGATTGTCCTCAAAGTGCCAGTAGTTAAATTGGAATCAAATCTTAAAGCAAATCAAAACGTATGCACTCATAGGTTACAGGTAGTCCTTGACTTGCAGCCACAATTGAATCCAAAATTGCTGTTATTAAGTGAGACATTTGTTAAGTGAATTTTGTCCCATTTTATGACCTTTCTTGCCGCAGTTGTTTAATTGAATCACTGCAGTTGTTAGCAAATCTGACTTCTCCATTGATTTTGCTTCTCAGAAGGTTACAAAAGGTGATCAAATCATCCCAAGATGCTGTAACCATCATAAATATGAGTCGGTTGCCAAGCGTCTGAACCTTGATCACATGGCCATAGGGATGCTGCAATGGTCACAAGTGTGAAAAACAAGTCATAAGTCCCTTTTTTCAATGCCACTGTAACTTTGAAGAGTCACTAAACCAGTGGTAGTCAACCTGGTCCTTACCTCCCACTAGTCGGCATTCTAGCTTTCATGGTGTGTGGTAGGGGTTTGCTGTAACTCTGCTTTATAAATTTTATACAGTAAAGTTACTTCACTACTTTATAAATCACCAT